CCCCCCGGCCTCTATTTGCCTGGGTTACGGCAGTCTAAGGACCACCAAAGTCTTCATATCTATCTCAGATTCATGTCTAGTGCAGAGGGGGAGAGAGGTGAGTGCTGACTGCCATAAGACAGGTAGGTAAAACTGCTTTATTTGACTCCCCTGAACTAAATAAACATTTAACTCTTGCAGTGCAGGGATAGCCCCATGCAATTACAGAAATATGGGGCTACTATTGCTGATCTCCTTATGGAAATTCAAATTGCCAGACTGTGTCTGGCTACAATACTTTTCAGTCAGAGACCAGGAATATGCATGCTGTAGTGTCAAAAAAGTGCCAGAGTCCCATCCTTCATGACTGCATGCATGATAAGACATGGCTCATTTCTTATCATGCATGCAGTACTGGAAGCTCAACAGGAGCTGCACTGTCCAGCAGGCCTCAAAGGAAACTTTTGAAAATGTGTACTGAGGGAAAGCAGGTCTACCAATGGCTTGCCGGCCCCATTTGCATTCAATCAATATAGTTTCTGATCTTCTTGCCTATCGTCATGGACTTGAATATTAATAAGCAAGCTTGCTGTCCTCATTTGTAATCGATTAATATAGTTTCTGATCTTCTTCTTACAGATCATCATGGACTCAAACATTACTAAGCAAGCTCTGAATGAGATTGAGACTCGGCACAGTGAGATCATTAAACTGGAGAACAGCATCCGGGAACTCCATGACATGTTCATGGATATGGCAATGCTTGTAGAGAGCCAGGTATGTACGTTGTCACTCTTAGCTTCTATCAGGAGAAATGCCACTCTGTATATAATTCCTGACAGTGTGCAGGAATGATCATGAAAACGTCATGTTTTTACTTTTGCTGTAATAAAGTAGGATTGATAATTCATTTACTGCTTTTACACTTAAAAACGGAGGTGCTCTGGTCAACACTGCACTTGGGCAATGGGTTTCTTACCCCCACTCCTGTCTTTACTTCCCATGCTGCATATGGGATGAGCGCTCAGCTGGTAGGTACTAACCGTTTACCTGTTGTGATGTGTTCTGGTGATGTCAGCTTTGTGACCACGTAATACTCGGCACAGTGTCTGTCTTGCTTTCTCTTCAAATATTTCCTGCAGCTCTAATCCAGCTTATATTTAATGCAGTTTTTAAAGATGTGTATTATCAAGGCGATTGTCCAGGAAGATCATACCTGCTGACTGATTAAAACTTAAAGATAAAACTATGTATTATGTATATGTATGAATGGTGAGGAACCCTGGAAGGTTTAAAGGAGAACTATGAGGTGAGTGCTTTTCACTCACCTCATAGTTCTAGCCGACCTGTGACAATGAAACTGTCACAGGTCGGCTCAGTAGATCGGGAGGTGAGCGAACACATACCGTTGCTCTCTCACTTCTCGATCCTGTCCCTGCAGACAGCCATGACAGGGGAGGGCCTGGATTGCCCCCTCCCCGCTCCGATCCTCCAGCGCTGACTGGCGGAAGGGACGGGGAGGGGGCGGGTACAGCTGCCTCTGCCTCTTGATAGGCAGAGCCAGCTGTCAGTCACGCAGCTGGGCAGATCCAGACATAATTGTCGTGATCCGTTTCAGCTGCTGCGTCTCAGTATACCGCGAGCTGTAGCTCGCAGTATACTGAGCTTAGGGTGACGGGAGGACGTTAGTTTGTCCTCCCGTTACCCTTAGGAGAACTATGGGGAAAAGCCCTGACCCCATAGTTCTCCTTTAAATGACCACTGCTAGACACATACATAGAGACATGTTGAAGATTTTTATCTTCGGTGAAGACTTTTTCTGGATTTGGTTGCTATATATGGTGGCACCCTTGTTTGCCTGGGATGCAATCATAGTGTGAGCCAGTTTTAGAATTTGAGCCGTGTTTGCTGTGGATTACATCACACCTCACGTTCTTCTCAGTGTCGAGTTCATATCACTTGAAATCAGTGTCCTGCTAATGAGATCAGTGTCAACAAGTGGTTAAAACTGCAATCTCAGCAAGAGTGCTCCTGTTGCCCAAGCCTACTCTATAAAGCCATCTCAGTACCATTGTATATCTCTTTAGCCCCCAAGGAAGCAGTGATTAGCTTTTCATGAGATACCTGTGCAATCCTGAAGTTTCTGTTGAGTTTTGGCTTCTCTTATCTTGCTGGCTTGTCTGGTGGTCGTCCTGTCTTCTGGTGAATATCGTAGAGAAGATTTATAAAACTCACCCATGTGTTTTATTTTTTCTGCAGGTTAAAGCTGATCGGAACAGCAAGTGGGGCTGAAAGTCACCCACAGAAGACCAGGTAACATGCAAAGTATTGCAATTAAACAACAATGATATTAAGTATCTTTCTTTTTCTGGCCCTCCTCTGTTATCCCTCACTCGCTCTTCCTGTCTCCTTACTGCGCTCTTCTTCTCCTATCTATGAATCACTCTGAACTTGTCCGCGTTGTACTCTGACCTCTTATCATATCATCTAACTGTTCTGCCTCGTTCATCTCCCGTCACTCCACTGTCCAATCTTTCCTTTACTTGGTATTCTTGGTTTCTTTCTGTTCTCTTCTTCACAATCTGACTTCTTCCTCTCTTTGTAAACCATTTCTTCAATCCATTTCAAAATACATTTATGGACTTACTAATGCTGCATGTTTGCTGTGCGCCACGTACACGCTTGTGTTCACTTGCATGTGTCTTTTATCTCGTATGTCGCTTTTTGTATTTCTCCAACCTCTCTTCTCTGTGTTACTTTCTCTTGATGTCTTCCGAATATCTCT